CAAGACGTTCAATACTCTCACACCTCCACTCCGTTTCATTCTCATAATTGGCGGCAATACGTTCGCGAATCCTCTCATTCATCTCTCTCTCCACCTCCTCCTCCGCCTTCACAACCCTCACACCAGGTGGCCTGGGTAAGATAAATAACTCGAACAAGTGTTGCATGCCAATCACAGTCAGCAGATGTCCGCAATATTTCTCGCGGGACCCAGCGGAGCAGTCGAACGAGAGGTACCACTCACGACCAAAGAGATCGCACAAACACCAATCCCATACAGTATGCCCACGGGCGGGGGCACCCACGCGCATGCGTGTGAGATGTTTCCTATCTTTTGTAGGCAACGCAAGAATACATGTATCCCGATGTTCCGTCCACCTCCCCCTTCCATGTAGCATGGCCAGCCTAGATATCATCCATTCACGTGAGATGTTCGACCCCTCGGGCATGGCAGGCTGATCATCCGTTGTCCGCCGACGACCCCCACTCGACATCTGGGAAATCTGAGATACTTGAGAAGCCGCCGCCGCCACCATCGCCCGAGTTTTTATCTGACGCCGATTCGGCACCCTCTCCACATCATCCGCAACTGTGTATGTTGTGTACCGCCTCATACGAATACTTGCAGCAACTGAGAAATCCTTGGCCCAATCCCAACAACGACATATCCATATCTGCACCGCACTTCGAGATCCTAGTTCAACAAACCTCTGCCGTCCAACTTTATATCGCCCACGTTGAAACTCAGACCATCCTTCAGTTCTCCGCTTGCGTAGACCTGACACCAACGCCAGGCATCTCCCCTCAAAGGGGTGAACAGCAGCAATGGTGGAATAGTCGGGCGTTCGGCCCTCACATTTGAATAATAATGCAGCAGTCACTTTAGATTGGTAACGAGTAAACCTCTCAACCGAATAAATACCAGAGCAGCGATAGTAGGCGATTTCCACAAAGAATACTTTCTGGGCTTTCTGGAGCATGGCCTCTGAATCCGAGTGGTCCTTCCAGGTCTCCTCCAGAGTGGCTCCCGGGATCTCAAACGACTGAACACGCGGCAGGGCCACCTCGCGGGCCCCGAGAGCAGGATCGCAAGACGGCACCAGCACATACATATCCTGCTCGGGGGACGGCGGGATGCCAGGCGGCGCACCAAAGTAAATATACATCAAGGATTTCGGCTTCCAGGTCATTCCTGCATTCCTCAGCGGGATACTCATGTCACGCACCATCAACTCGAGCTCGGAGCGAGTCTTCGCATACAATAAGAGATTATCTGCCCAGAAACTATGGGTCATACGCTCACCGTTGAACATACGCTCATCGTTTTGCAACTTGATACCGTGCTGCGTATCCTGCCTCCACCTCTCAATCACATCTCTCCAGAGTGCAATAGATACTGCTAGGAAAATCATCGGCCCCTCCACTCCTCCCGTTCGAATAGACTTGTCCCAATAGACAGCTGAAGATGCCTCGATGTCCTCGAAGCTGGCCACACATTGATTATCAATCATTGGTTCAATCAACGCCACAATGAGATCAGCTGGTATGTCAAGAGCACGAAGACAGCGCATGGCGAGGCACGGGGAAACATTATCGAATGCTTGTAAAAATATCAAGACTGGCAAGCCACAAACTGTCTCCTTTGCCCCAGACAGCGGAGTGCTGGCTGAGCCTTTTGGCAACGCTGGTGATTTCCGATGTTTTTCGTCCCGATCTGAATCCGTACAGGCATACATAGCGTCGGTGCTCCTCAATCCTCTTCTCAATCACCGTCACAATACATGTCATGTACCATTTCATAAGACACGACTGTAGACATAGCACACGTGAATCTGTCAAGCGTTGTATGTCCATTTCCTTAAGCATGAGCGTAGCAGCTAGTTGACGCCAACTGTCAGGGCAACATAACCTGCGGGAATACACACCTTGGAAGCTCACCAGAACGTCGGAGAGATGCCCGCGAGAGCTGTCTCAGCATCATGACAGTGACGTTGTCGGGGCCTGGGGCCTTCCCCGTGGACAGCTTCGCCCTCGCCCGCAGCAGGAGCGACATCGAGAACACCTCCGAGGACCCACTTCCCGAACATAGACCACGCAGCGACTGTAGCTCACGGAGGGTCACCTCCCTGGCCTCGGGGTCCTCAACCTTAGCCTTCATGTGCCCCAATATCTCGTCCCCCCACTCCTCGCGGTTCTGAGACTCCATCCCGTTGGCAAGGATCAGCGTCTCCGTCTTGGCCCTCCTCCTCCTCCTCGTGTTCATCTCCGTCCTCCACCTCTGTACTTTTGCCTCCAGCCTCCTCCTTTCTCTCCTCACTATCTTTGAGCACCGTTTGGCCTCCTCTCTATCCCCACGACGAAGTGCTTCACGTATACTTTCCTGGGCAGCCCAGTGGATCTCGGATTTCTTGGGCACGATATTTCTGGGATTTGGTATCCTTCTGGGGGGTCTCCCAGGCGGCCTTTGCGCGGTCAGGTCCGATCATGTCCAACATCTCCTGTCGATCCCCAGGGTCAGCATTTTCCTGGCACAATGCACGGTAACGACTGCCCCGATCGCCCATGTTCTTCGCAAACTCGAGCTGCGACACCGGTTGCAATTAGATGAATTTTCGAGCAGGCTGGGTCCGTCTCTTGGCAGACGGTGCACAAGACAAGCGAACAACTAGGCAAGCGTGGTCAGACAGCGCACGCTCGTATCTGCTGCATGGGTGCTCCGTCCAGGCGTGGCCAACTTCCGCAGGCAGCATCCAGCCTACAGTGAGCTCCTGCCTGTATAAACGACGGCTGACACCAACATAGTCAAGTACCTTCTCCACCCCCATACTTGATTTGAAAGTAACCCTCCTCTGCCCAAATGTGTTCCCCATCCTTATGCCCCAGAGCCCGCAGAAGTCCAGTAGGGCCCTCCTCATAGATTGCAGCCTAGACGCCCGTCGGATTTCGAAGCCCGAGACAACCCTATGGGGTCTTGATTTACGTGTAAAACGTTTTGTTTGAGTCATACAAGGGTTGCCGTCATCCGATCCTTCCTCCATCCCAGTATCCATCTCCGTAGTATCCCCTGCGATCCCAGACGCCTCCAGAAGCCCTGATCCAGTAACTCTAAAGCCGTTGACCTCCAAATCTGGCTCGAGTTCGACGTTAGCATCTGTCAGGAACACCAGGTCCTGCGGCTGCTTCGGGAACGTAGACCTATGAGTGCGAAGCACTTGGGATGTATCAAACAATATCTGTTCATACACATCATGTTCATGCTGTTCTTCCGCAAGGGTACGAATACTCTCATGCGGCATATTTGCAACAATAACCGTAACACTGGAATAACTACAGATCACAAAACCTTTTCCACGATACGTGGCCCTGAGCGAGTCTCTCCAAGACTTAGACATGATCACCGCAGCCTTCCGACAAGTACTCCGAAAAATTGTGTAACCAAGCACGTTGAGATCACGAGCTGAAAGGAACTGGCACTCGCACAACCCCGCGAGTCCCACATCTAAGCGACGTAGTGAATTAAGTATGTCATGGCCGTTCTCTGCACCTGCCCGACGCACATTCCATGACGCAATGGTGTCGCGGCACCTCTAGCTCGCACCGGAAATCCTCGTTCGCAACTCATCAATGTTGATCCCTGGCTCAAGCTGGTTCATTGCACGAGTAATCTCCCAGCCATTCTGCAGAGAGAACTTGGCCACGATCTTCCCTGGAGGGGGTAGGTGATCACTGGAGCCCCACATGAACGTGATCGGCGGTCCCGTCTCAGCCCTAAGATCTGAATGATGCTTCTTGAAGCTCTTGAACTTTGCCTGAAAGATCCCAGCGGCATCCAGATGGGGCTTCTTCCAGGGGGGGGCCTCCACGTGAACCTTGAGTGCCCTGGGAGCATGCTGGAGTTTGTTGTCGGCAATCGCGGCGACGAGCCGACGACGGAGATCCCACAGCTGGTCACTGGTAACCCCCTTTCTGGAAATAGAGCCGAGCACGCGAATAACCCGATGCCCCTCGACCTGTGTTGAACTTCTTGGATTGGTTCAGGTCAAGAAGGTCCTTGACACCACTGAACCATTCTCCAGCAAGGACCTCATTCAGGAGTGGAGTCAACGCCTGCTGTGATAGCATCTCCTCCTGACGCTTCTCTGCATTCCGCCAGTCAGTCACCTATCCCTTGAGCTCGACGAATGACGGAGTGAAATTCTGCATGGACTCACGAGTCTCCGCCGAGGACGCCGCAGTAGAGGCGCCTGCTCTGGGGGCCCCACCTGCAGGAGCCTGCTGGAGCTGAATAATCTGAAGCCTCTGATCCTCCACCTTCTTAATAATAGCATCTATGTCCGTGATCGCCTGCTGCACATTTTTCTCGACCGAATCAACACGAGCATTGAGCTGGGTGCCGAGATCCGCGATGCTTCGATGAGTAGACTGGAACCCCTCAGTCATCTTACCTCCCAGAGATGCTACAAGCCCAGTGATCTTATCCGTACCTCTAGTCATGGCCTCCTCGAGGCCCTCGACAGTCTGAACTTTGACACGTTTTCCCTCTGGGACCTCCTCCTCCTTGGCTCCTGGAACGGGCACATCAGTGGCATCCATGGCGAAAATCTCTGGGACCACGGCAGCTGATGAAACAGCCATCTTACCGTCGGAGATATTGCAAGGGATATTCCACTTCTCACAGAACGATCGATCTTCTCGAGTACGTTTTAGATGTGCTCCTAACTGGTGAAAGTTGTATGGGGGGAACAGGATTATGGGGTAAAGTAGGAGACAGATCAGGTGGTCCAGATGGTACGTCAACCAGAGAATCTTTATCGTCACGACGAGATACACCAACCTGTCTGGCAAGATATTCCCACTCCCAGTGTCCGAAGTTCGATCCCCAGCGGTCCAGATCAATCGATAAACTCTGGCTCGTCCCGTCCAGCTCGAGGCCGCAGACAAAATGCCGCGGCACGCAATGCACACAAACAAATACAAACAAATGGCAGGCGGCATGCTTGCCTCGGACTCGCCGAAGTCGCCGAAGATGCCGAGCGGCCCGATCGCCACGCGCCCCCGCGCGGCGGGCCAGGCCAGGGGCAGGCTGCCTGACCGCACAATGCGGCTCGAGCCGCACGAGAAAGCCCAGAAATCCCGGCGGCAACCTTGGTTTTTTGAGTTTGAGTCAGGGCGCGGACAGCTGTGACAGCTGAGCCGTAAGACCCCCAAACGGAGCACAGGGTAGCTAGAGAAGGCATCTCTTATCATCACACTGCCGAGCCACTGAGGCATAGGCATCGGAATAGGATGCAGGAACAAGGAAAAGGATGCAGCACGACATGTGAAATTGCAAAGGTGTAGGAACAGGCTAGAGATGAAAGAGGCTACCCAAAACGTGCACCACGGCCATGCAGAGCCGCTGCGCTGCAAACATCACACAGAACACGACAGAAGCAGAGGCATGCCGGGAACTCGTAAAGCTGCCTCGTGCAATGCGGGCGCGGCAATCTCGAATTGCGCGCGCGAGGGTGAAGGAGGCGTGGAGGAGAAGAAGAAATGAGGAGAAAGCATCTCTGGAAAAATTTAAAGAATACACATAGTTTTCTGGTTCGAACTCTGAAAGCGCGACGAGTTCGGGAATCTGGATGCTTCAAATTAGCGCCACAATAAATTCCTTCCGATTCTGTGCCAAACAGCTCCGCAGCTCTTCTGCAGCTCGAGTTACGTCAAGAAAGTTGCCATCATCTGTCTCAAATTTAGCGTACGAATAATTGTTTCTGACCCAGCTCTGGTAGCAGACCAAATTCAGGCGTCTGGATACTCAGGCGTCTGGATACTTTAAACTAGCGCTTATTATGATTGCCTTGGACCTTCTGTGACAAACAGCTATGAAGTTCATCTCCAGCTCGAGTTCAAACAAGAAAACCATCACCATCTCTAGAAAAATTAGCAAAGCACGAATAGTTGTTCGAACCCAGCTTTGATAGCAGACCAAGTTCAGGCGTCTAGATACTTCAGACTAGCGCGCCTGACGACTTCCTTCTGATTTCTGTGCCGAACAGTCTGTAGCTCGTGTGTAACTCCAGTTTAGTCAGGAAAACCATCAACATTTCTAAACATGTACGAATACGTTTCGGACCTAGCTCTGATAGCAGACCGAGTTCAGACGCCTAGATACTTCAAACTAACGCGCCTGATGTGATCCTTCCGATTGCTGTGCAGAACAGCTCTGTAGCTCATCTGCAGCTCGAGTTAAGTGAAGAAAACCGTCATCATCTGAAAAAAATAGCAGAGTATGAGTAGCGTTTCGGGCCCAGCCGAGATAGCAGACCGAGTTCAGGCGTCTAGATACTTCAAACAAGCGCGCCTGGTGATTCCCTTACGATTGCTGTGCCGAACAGCTCTGTAGCTCATCTGCAGCTCGAGTAAAGCCAAGAAACTGATCATCATCTCCAAAAAATAGAGTACGGATAGTTTCGCGGACCTAGCTCAAGTAGCAGGCCGAGTTCAGACATCCAGATGCTTCAGACTTACGCGCCTGACGATTCTAGATCGACTGGCGCCGGCGATGAACCGTCAACCTGGTCTTTGCGGTCTTTGCGGTCGACTGTGCGGGCCGTCAGGCCCAGTCGCAAGCAAGAAAACGGGTAACATACAGGTGAGCCAAACCGCCCACCACACGCATGCGGCAGGGAGCGAAGCTCAATTTCGAACAAGTGGCCATCAAGCGAAGCTCTTATTCGACACACGCGCATGCATGAACACACAAGCACGAAGAAAGCAACGCAATCACAAGTCACAAAAGTTCAAACTCAAAGTATGTGTGAAGAACCCGTGGAAGAACATCAATGATATGTTCAATCGCCGACAGTTCGGCATCAGTAACTGAAGCATTGTTGTCGATAGAGAAAGCAGCACTATACACCTCCGTCCACACAATATCGCTGGAGCTCGGCTTACGACACGTCCGCGAGACACGACCGACATCAATCCAGCAACCGACTCCGACACCCGCCATCGACACTCCACCATCGAAGCCACAATCGATGGCACAATACCTGTGAAGATTCGATACTCGTTGGGCTGCTGCCCGATACAATCCTGAAATATGTCGATGCCCTCTCGGGCAGTATGAGTAAGCACGTCCGCCCTTGTATTCCATTCCCTGAAGCAGTGTTCGATAAGGTCTCTTCCAGGAGAAAACGGGCGTATACGAAACCAAAAAGACATACCATCCAGACGATTTATGATCCTGTCGACTCTCTTTTGATGAGATGTGTTGGTAACCTGCCAGTAACCTTGGCACCATGATACAACCAAGAGGCTATCTCCATGGATACTTATGGGGACTCCGAAGGCCTCAAGATTCCACTCGGCATTTTCCCATTTGGATGTGTGTACAGCAAGTCGTTTAGCTAGACGATCATTGGCAGTTTGTGATCCCTCCTCCACTCCATACTCCTGAAGTTCCTGCTGAGTTTGGATATGGACCTCCCCAGTAGCCCTAGGATGACTATGCGTTTTGGCACGGATCTGGAAACGGTCAAGCATTTCCCGAGAACAGACGTGTGCGGCGAACTGCCCGAAGGCCCCTGGAGTAGCACGAATATCCCCCCACCACTTGGGCCCGAAGAACTCTGACAACATGTGGGCCCAATGTCTCTGTCCAATGGCAAGCCCCCCTCCCCGCTGGCGTTTCATCTGACTGGATTCACGAAGGTAGAAATTCATGCGCAGGAACTCCGAGGCATCCGTACGGATGCGGTCCCACATAACACCATATGCACACAAGCACGCACGTACGTCACGCCAAGTCCGACCAGCATTCCTCCACTCATCACATGTGCCCGCCTGGATCACGTGGATAAACTCGCACATATCTTTTGCCAGTTTCCAGGAAACACGAAGAAACCTCTGAACCAGGGAAGCGAAACCCATCTCCTGAAACTTCCTCCTGGCTTCCGCATACCTCCTCCGACTCCACGTGGCCACATCCTCCTCGGCTCCCCTGGGACACCTGAACATTTTGCAAAGACAGAGCCCTTCGAAGGCGTGCATACGCTGAATGGAATGATTGTCGAGTGTCATGCCCTCGATACCGTACATAGCAATACCCTGAACCTTCTCCTGATACCTCCAGAATTTATCCCTAATACTCACAGCAGAACACCTGAAATAGTTGGACATGCCATAGAAACTCTTGCGTGCCATGGACAGACGATGGCCCACATCAGGATGTGCAGGGGTATTGAACTCGGAATGAATCTCGACACCGAGCACATTCATCGAGGAAACTCTTCTGAAGCGCAGGACCTCAGATGTGGTAACTATGAGATCCTCCTCAGGTAAGATAATCCCATCAGCATTACAACGAGGTGCCAGGCCACATGTCATAAAGAGCAGTGATGACGCCTTCCACGTCATGCCAAAAGAAGCGAGTGGTAATGTTAGATCGTGAATCATACTCCTGAGGTCAGCGGCCGAACCGGCTACGAGATAGACGTTGTCAGCCCAGAGGAAGTGACTGATGAGGATCTCCTTACGGATGGACCCGTAGAGTCCCTCGACACGGTAGCCCAATCTTTTGATGTCCCAAGATCTGAAGACCTCGGCCCACATCGCCACGACAATCAGGTTGAACACCAGGGGCCCCTCGGGACCCCCCGTACGTATGCACCTATCCCAATGGAGCCCAGGAATTTCCATCCCTTACACGATCACAGTACCTATAGTACCACATAACGGGGCCAAAAGAGCGCATTGAGCTCCTTGCACGCGTAAGAGTGCTCAGAATCGAAGCAGACAGCTTCTCGGAGCATTTCTAGGTCGACCAAGTAGCTCCGCCCCGCGCCGGAATTCCTCTAGCTCATCGATAACGAAGAGCTCTACGAGGTATTAGGTGTGCCTACCAGTGTAGCTCTCCTACAGCTCGAGTTGAGTACAGAAAACCAACAGCACCTGTCAAGATGACACGAAACAGCCGATTCCGCCCCAGTGCTGTTTGGCAGTAATAGGTACCCGATCGAGCTGATATTAAGATGGCGAGCGGGAGTAGATCGAAGATAGAAGAAAAAAACTAGAGCTCTAACGAATGTTCAAATTTCGAGAAAGCGGATTTACACCGAGCAAAAGTATGCAAAACTTCCGTCGAGATTTTTGCTGCCAACTAGCCCCCCAGCGCGCCAGAATTACTCTTCTAGCTTCGCCGCTAACGCTCTTAGGGAAACTCCACGAGTTTATTCGTTGAGTATCCAGATTTTTGCTCCCTGCAGTCGATCATGGCGCGCTCGATGGTGCAATTTTCGAGGTTCTAGCTGTCGTACAGCTCGCGCAAAGTCGACAACCGGGATGACTGTTTCCAGATGAAAATGGTTTACTGAAATTAAATCAAGCAAGCAGCCAGCTACACATCTCCATCTTTTTTTAGTTATGGCGCGTCAAACTGACGAATTCTTAGCCCGTCGCTGCAGAACTACGAGTGAGGCACCACGTGACAAATCACGGAAAGTCACGTTCAAAGGTCAATGAGCACTCAAATCAAGGAAGCAACGAATGACCTACTTTGAGGGATCGAGCGAAGCTCTTATTCAACACACGCGCATGCACGACAATTCACACAGGCATGAAGAAAGGCAACGCAATGACAAATCAAGCGTGCAGGATCAATCACCTGTGCATCATCTGTGCCGTTTCCGATGCTTCTCGCCGCTCCGCGTCAATGCACTCCTGGAAGTAGAACTCTGAGGAACCCCTTGTTGCGAATCATCCTCCTCGGAACTTTCAATTCCCAATTGCAGCCTGTATGCATTAAGAGCCTCAGTCCTACGCTGAAACTCCTGTGTCGGGAGTCGGTGTAGCTCACGCCAAAGGGCACTGACATCGACACCGGCAAGGGCCCAGTCCCTGGCAGCTTGACACTCGTCCTCCGTCACTGCTGCACTCACAACTGCATTAGATAATCTCCCAGTCGTGGAACTCCCAGGGTGTGAAGCCATAGAATCTCTATGATGAGAACAATGCAACTGCACATTCCGCAACTCCTCATTCTGCAACTCCTCACCCTGCAACTCCTCATCATGCAACTCCTCTTTCAGAACACCTGGATCAACAGAAACAGAGACCACTTCCGAGTTTTTGTTGTTGTCAGCGCTCACTCGATGACACTCCTCCTTCTCCTCCTCACCAACAAAGAGAACACAAAGATCAGTCTGAGTCCCACACGCAATGTGAACACGGGGATTTGTCTGAGTCCCAGAATCGGAACACTGCGAACACAAAGAGTTGCCAGCCAATTCAACAGCATCCATATCAGCCTGTGTTCCACAAGTGTCCTCAACCCACTCCTCTTCCTCAGAATCGTCCGAGCAGAAATTCCGATAATATCTGGGCGCGCAAATGCCCGCGCGAACAAGCCACGACGGATCTGGCCCCCGAGCCGTGGACCACAAACGATACCTGACACGTTTCGCCCGCAGGCGGCGCAACTTCGATTGAGAAACTTTGACACCATGCCCATACAGCTGGTCTCGCTCATGCAGGCGAGACTCACCTCCGTACGAAGGGCGAACACGGCAATATAGATCACTAACACACACTTCGACCGTAGACAAACGAGCAGACAAACAAGCGAGAAACTCGGAAGTAAACAACGCCGTATCTGTCCAATCTGAAGCAACAAAATCCGCGCCTGACAATTCAGATGAAACAAACTCCATATATAAAACGTGGACTCGCTCAACAAGAAGAAGGCAAATCACAAGCAATAACTAGATGGACAGTTGAGATAACCAAGGAAAATGCTGTTCCAACGATACTCCGACAATCTCAACAATAATGTGCACTCCGACGACAATGGGCGTGGACAGGCCTTCGACAATCAATGAGAGTGTACGGTACTCAGGCAAAACAGACACTGAAGCACCGTGTACGGTAAAGAGAACCAAACACCAGGCACGGCACAATGCCGCTCGAGGAGGCCTCCGACGGGCCAGGTCGCCGCTGAGAGCCCGAGGAGGGACAGCAGCAACCTGGTCACCGCCGGGAACCTCGTAGAGCTCCTTGCACGCGTAAGAGTGCTCAGAATCGAAGCAGACAGCTTCTCGGAGCATTTCTAGAATTATCCCGGCAAAGCAACCTAACATCGATGTGTAGGAGCACATCTGGAAGCATTCCCCTTAAGATTCGGATGAGAATCCAGTTGTAGAATTCTGCTGTTCTCGCAGTCGTAGTCGCATTCGCGATGACAGTCGCAGTGGCAACGGCAGTCGCAGTCACAGCCTCAGCCTCAGCCTGCCTCAGCCTCAGCCTCAGCCTGCCTCAGCCTCAGCCTGCCTCAGCCTCAGCCTCAGCCTGCTTCAGCCTCAGCCTCAGTCTGCCTTCAGCCTCGGCCTCAGCCTCAGCCTGCCTCAGCCTCAGCCTGCATCAGCCTCAGCCTCAGCCTCAGCCTGCCTCAGCATCAGCCTGCCTCAGCCTCAGCCTGAGCCTGCCTCTGCCTCAGCCTCAGCCTGCTTCAGCCTCAGCCTCAGTCTGCCTCGGCCTCGGCCTCAGCCTCAGCCTGCCTCAGCCTCAGCCTCAGCCTGCCTCAGCCTCAGCCTCAGCCTCAGCCTGCCTCAGCCTCAGCCTCAGCCTGCCTCAGCCTCAGCCTGCCTCAGCCTCAGCCTCAGCCTGCCTTCAGCCTCAGCCTCAGCCTCTGCCTTCAGCCTCGGCCTCAGCCTCAGCCTGCCTCAGCCTCAGCCTGCATCAGCCTCAGCCTCAGCCTCAGCCTGCCTCAGCCTCAGCCTCAGCCTCAGCCTTCAGCCTCAGCCTCAGTCTGCCTTCAGCCTCGGCCTCAGCCTCAGCCTGCCTCAGCCTCAGCCTGCATCAGCCTCAGCCTCAGCCTCAGCCTGCCTCAGCATCAGCCTGCCTCAGCCTCAGCCTCAGCCTGCCTCAGCCTCAGCCTCAGCCTGCTTCAGCCTCAGCCTCAGTCTGCCTTCAGCCTCGGCCTCAGCCTCAGCCTGCCTCAGCCTCAGCCTGCATCAGCCTCAGCCTCAGCCTCAGCCTGCCTCAGCCTCAGCCTGCCTCAGCCTCAGCCTGCAGCCTCAGCCTGCTTCAGCCTCAGCCTCAGTCTGCCTTCAGCCTCGGCCTCAGCCTCAGCCTGCCTCAGCCTCAGCCTCAGTCTGCCTCAGCCTCGCCTCTCAGCCTGCCTCAGCCTCAGCCTGCATCAGCCTCAGCCTCAGCCTCAGCCTCAGCCTCAGCCTCAGCAGCCTCAGCCTCAGCCTGCCTCAGCCTCAGCCTCAGCCTGCCTCAGCCTCAGCCTCAGCCTCAGCCTCAGCCTCAGCCTCAGCCTGCAGCCTCAGCCTCAGCCTCAGCCTCGGCCTCCGCCTCAGCCTGCCTCAGCCTCAGCCTGCATCAGCCTCAGCCTCAGCCTCAGCCTCAGCCTCAGCCTGCCTCAGCATCAGCCTGCCTCAGCCTCAGCCTCAGCCTCAGCCTGCCTCAGCCTCAGCCTCAGCCTCAGCCTTCAGCCAAAGCCTCAGTCTGCCTTCAGCCTTGGCCTCAGCCTCAGCCTGCCTCAGCCTCAGCCTGCATCAGCCTCAGCCTCAGCCTCAGCCTGCCTCAGCATCAGCCTGCCTCAGCCTCAGCCTGCCTCTGCCTCAGCCTCAGCCTGCTTCAGCCTCAGCCTCAGTCTGCCTTCAGCCTCGGCCTCAGCCTCAGCCTGCCTCAGCCTCAGCCTGCCTCAGCCTCAGCCTCAGCCTGCCTCAGCATTCAAAATGTGGCCCGGGAATGGAATTCTGGGAACTCGAAGAACACGAAGTGGCCTACAGTTGGCTCCGGGCATTCAAAATCATGCCCAGGAATGGAGTTCTGGGAACTCGAAGACACGAAGTGGCCTACAGTTGGCTCCGGGCATTCAAAATGTGGCCCGGGAATGGAGTTCTGGGAACTCGAAGACACGAAGTGGCCTACAGTTGGCTCCGGGCATCCAAAATGTGGCCCGGGAATGGAGTTCTGGGAAATCGAAGAGCACGAAGTGGCCTACAGTTGGCTCCGGGCATCCAAAATGTGGCCCGGGAATGGAGTTCTGGGAAATCGAAGAGCACGAAGTGGCCTACAGTTGGCTCCGGGCATCCAAAATGTGGCCCGGGAATGGAGTTCTGGGAAATCGAAGAGCACGAAGTGGCCTACAGTTGGCTCCGGGCATCCAAAATGTGGCCCGGGAATGGAGTTCTGGGAAATCGAAGAGCACGAAGTGGGCACGAAGTGTGTGACTGTATGCGAAAAACGATCCCCGCCGGCAAACCCCAACAGCCCCCCAACTGCCCCCCAACTGCCCCCAACGGCTGCCCAGACCCCCCTGTGGAGTAATGTTGCAGTAATGTTGAAGTAATGTGCTGCTCTCTTTTTAGACCACTAGAAACCTACCAGTCTTCGATGTTAGGTAAAAACGTCAAATTTGCATTTTCCGGTGCCAACCTGACGTCGCATCCTCCAATGTTTCGATAGTAAAATTCTCTCTGGAGAGCTGATTCTCTCTCAGAATGAAGTTTAAACACTATTGCTGGACGTAAAGATCTGAGATCTCAAAATTAATGGTCAAAATGGCGCCGGCGGTGAACCGTCAACCTGGTCACCGCCGAGAACCTCGTAGAGCTCCTTGCACGCGTAAGAGTGCTCAGAATCGAAGCAGACAGCTTCTCGAAGCATTTCTAGAATTATCCCGGCAAAGCAACCTAACATCGATGTGTAGGAGCACATCTGGAAGCATTCCCCTTAAGATTCGGATGAGAATCCAGTTGTAGAATTCTGCTGTTCTCGCAGTCGTAGTCGCATTCGCGATGACAGTCGCAGTGGCAACGGCAGTCGCAGTCACAGCCTCAGCCTCAGCCTGCCTCAGCCTCAGCCTCAGCCTGCCTCAGCCTCAGCCTGCCTCAGCCTCAGCCTCAGCCTGCTTCAGCCTCAGCATCAGTCTGCCTTCAGCCTCGGCCTCAGCCTCAGCCTGCCTCAGCCTCAGCCTGCATCAGCCTCAGCCTCAGCCTCAGCCTGCCTCAGCATCAGCCTGCCTCAGCCTCAGCCTCAGCCTGCCTCAGCCTCAGCCTCAGCCTGTTTCAGCCTCAGCCTCAGTCTGCCTTCAGCCTCGGCCTCAGCCTCAGCCTGCCTCAGCCTCAGCCTGCATCAGCCTCAGCCTCAGCCTCAGCCTGCCTCAGCATCAGCCTGCCTTCAGCCTCAGCCTCAGCCTGCCTCAGCCTCAGCCTCAGCCTGCTTCAGCCTCAGCCTCAGTCTGCCTTCAGCCTCGGCCTCAGCCTCAGCCTCAGCCTCAGCCTCAGCCTGCCTCAGCCTCAGCCTGCCTCAGCCTCAGCCTCAGCCTGCTTCAGCCTCAGCCTCAGTCTGCCTTCAGCCTCGGCCTCAGCCTCAGCCTGCCTCAGCCTCAGCCTGCATCAGCCTCAGCCTCAGCCTCAGCCTGCCTCAGCATCAGCCTGCCTCAGCCTCAGCCTCAGCCTGCCTCAGCCTCAGCCTCAGCCTGCTTCAGCCTCAGCCTCAGTCTGCCTTCAGCCTCGGCCTCAGCCTCAGCCTGCCTCAGCCTCAGCCTGCATCAGCCTCAGCCTCAGCCTCAGCCTCAGCCTCAGCCTCAGCCTGCCGCATCAGCCTCAGCCTGCTTCAGCCAGCCTCAGCCTCAGCCTCTGCCTTCAGCCTCGGCCTCAGCCTCAGCCTCAGCCTGCCTCCTCTGCCTCAGCCTCAGCCTGCTTCAGCCTCAGCCTCAATCTGCCTCAGCTCAGAGCCTCAGCCTCAGCCTCAGCCTGCCTCAGCCTGCTCAGCCTCAGCCTGCCTCAGCCTCAGCCTCAGCCTGCCTCAGCCTCAGCCTCAGCCTGCTTCAGCCTCAGCCTCAGTCTGCCTTCAGCCTCGGCCTCAGCCTCAGCCTGCCTCAGCCTCAGCCTGCATCAGCCTCAGCCTCAGCCTCAGCCTCAGCCTCGCCTCAGCCTCAGCCTCAGCCTGCCTCAGCATCAGGCCTGCCTCAGCCTCAGCCTGCTTCAGCCTCAGCCTCAGTCCTCAGCCTCAGCCTCAGCCTGCTTCAGCCAAAGCCTCAGTCTGCCTTGAGCCTTGGCCTCAGCCTCAGCCTCAGCCTGCCTCAGCCTCAGCCTGCATCAGCCTCAGCCTCAGCCTCAGCCTGCCTCAGCATCAGCCTGCCTCAGCCTCAGCCTGCCTCTGCCTCAGCCTCAGCCTGCTTCAGCCTCAGCCTCAGTCTGCCTTCAGCCTCGGCCTCAGCCTCAGCCTGCCTCAGCCTCAGCCTGCCTCAGCCTCAGCCTCAGCCTGCCTCAGCATTCAAAATGTGGCCCGGGAATGGAAATTCTGGGAACTCGAAGAACACGAAGTGGCCTACAGTTGGCTCCGGGCATTCAAAATCATGCCCAGGAATGGAAATCTGGGAAGTCGAAGAACACGAAGTGGCCTACAGTTGGCTCCGGGCATCCAAATGTGGCCCGGGAATGGAGTTCTGGGAAGTCGAAGAACACGAAGTGGCCTACAGTTGGCTCCGGGCATCCAAAATGTGGCCCGGGAATGGAGTTCTGGGAAATAGAAGAGCACGAAGTGGCCTACAGTTGGCTCCGGGCATCCAAAATGTGGCCCGGGAATGGAGTTCTGGGAAATAGAAGAGCACGAAGTGGCCTACAGTTGGCTCCGGGCATCCAAAATGTGGCCCGGGAATGGAGTTCTGGGAAATCGAAGAGCACGAAGTGGCCTA